TTTCACTCAAAAATTCTAGCTGAACTGTTATTTTGCACTGATTGTATAAAATTTTGGGGAAACATGAACCTTTGAGCCTGAGAAAAAAAATGAAGCGTCAAAAAGACGATTTTTTCCCCCTTCACACTGTTATTATTTTAACTAACTTCACTCATTGGCAATGTTTATTGTTTTAAAAAGTGATGGGAGTAAATATCAGAATTTTTACTTTTAGGTAGTTTGACAGAGGGTACTGTTTGAAATGAGATTTCAGCAGATTTTTATTGGTTCCAAATTTATCCTATTATAATTGTGCTTGTCCTGCTCTTCGTTAGTTTGCACGACCGCTATGTCCTGCCAATACTGCATAAATAATGGACTATTTTGTTTTGATCGCATGGAAACAGGGGAAAAGACACAACTTGGTTTCAATGGGAAAATGAAAGAAAGAAAGAAAAGTTCAATGTCTCCTGCCAATACCTCATAAATAATGGACTATTCTGTTTTGATCACATGGAAAGAGGGGGGAAAGACACTACTTGGTTTCATTGAGAAAAAGAAAAGAAAGAATAAAAGGTAGAAGTGTTTAACATCGCCTGCCAATACCTCATAAATAATGGACTATTCTGTTTTGATCATGCAGAAACAGGGGAAAAGACACTACTTGGTTTCAATGAGAAAATGAAAGAAAGAAATATTTAATGTCTCCTGCCAATACCTCATAAATAATGGACTATTCTGTTTTGATAAACAAAATGCATATCAGAGATGCTACTTGGGTTCAGTGTGAAAATGAATAAAAAGAAGAAAGAAAAGGAAGATAAGTGTTTAATAATGGTTGTTTCAGTAAAATGGAAAAAAAAAAACAATTGTCAATTTCAAATCTTTTCATTTGTACCCACTTCTTAAAATAACAAGCAGCATTCATATTTATGATTGTTATTGAAATATTTCGTTAAAGTTGTTAAGCTCAAATATTTAACAAGATCATAGGGCTATTTCTATGTATATTTTATTGTTATAGAACTTGCCATGAGCTTACTCAATCTTTAACTTAATATTCATCAGACTATTAAAATAGGAAAACTGAAATTTTCACAGGTCTTTCTAGTTATTATTTCTGCAACAAGTTTGGGTTGCAATGACAAGAGTTATTTGGCTCTCCTCAAAATGACAAAACAGTTGGATTGGTATCTCCAATTTTCATAACAATCTACAATGAGTGATGACAAGTTATCCAGGTTTTTTACTGAAAATAAAGAGGCTTGAGCCTTCAACAGTGACAAAGTTTGTATGAATTTAGTCTCAATAAGCCTTTGAAAACATTTTGTATAATTCTTTTTTATTTTTCAGCTATAATGTTGAATACATTATAGCTATTTGCAGATAGAAAGACTCTTGGTTATATTTAATGAGTTCAGTAATTATGCCATCTTCTTGTACACTTGTGTAAATTTTTCTTATAAAAGTCATCAATATACATCCTGATATTGAAGGTGGCCATGACAGGTTCAGTTGTCTCGCTGGCCATCATCTGATTGATATTATAAATCACAAAGCAATGTTCTTTTGTTTGTAGGACCAATATCAGCATGAAATTTAGGGTAAATATAGTAATGTTTGTGAGTTAAAAACTGTAGGTTTTTTTTAAGCTTTATATTATTATTAGTTATGTAGTTTGAAAACATTGTGTGCTGCAAACTTAATAGATACATTGTTGAGTAGAAGAAAGAATTGTGTTAAAGTACTTTGATGCATGTTTGGATGGCTGAAATAACTTATAAAGTATCTTGTTGTCAGGTTGGCATTTAAAAAAATTTTGTGAAAGTGATGAATTATTTTTACTAAACTGATTTCTTTTATTCAAATATTGTCCATTTATCTCCGTTTTAATTTTCATTTTGTTTGGTGCTAGAGTCAAATATTTAAATAATTTTCACTTAAAGTAATGGATTATTTTTTACTAATTGTTAGAGGAACCTAATTTCCTTCCTCCTATAAAGGACAAAAACTCACAATACAATTGAGTTACTTCCCTTGTCTTTGAAGAGGAGCACAGCAATTCTGAATTGAATATGGTGACAAACTGACACAAACGTGGAATTCATGGTTTCAATTAAAACAAATCCTTGCTGTCCTCAGACTGTAAATGAATAAAAGTTGTTTATTTGTGTTAAAATACACTTGTCTTATTTTCATTCATTTTGGTTTATCCCAACAGCTTGGGATATAACACTAATTTTATACAGTTTCATATATCACACTTCTCACTTGTAGAACTTTCTTCCAGATTCTTGCTTGTCGACTTTGATCTTCAAAAATTTAAATCCAATGTCAATTATTACCTTCTTGTTCTTGGTCTTCTATTCTTTAACTCAGTAATTGAACATGGCGACAAGTTGACGCACATGTAGAATTTGTGGTTTCACTCCAAACATATCCTTGAATAAAAGTTTTATTTATGTGTTAAAATACACTAATCTTTTATCTTCATTCACCTTTTTTTTTTATCTCAATACCCTGAGATATAACACTAATTTTATTATTTTCTTCAGATATTTTCCTTTTCCTATGATCTCATTTGAGATAAACATTTATAGCATATTCCTGATTTTTATTCATTATAAAACCTTGGAACAAGTAAAATATTAGGAATTATAATGGTGTTGACTTTCCTCTATGGTACCTAAACTATATGAATTTAAATACAGTACTAAATTACAGACACAATGGAGTAATGGATAGCAGCTCAGATTGAGGAATCAGAGAGCCAAGTTCGATTTCCAGTCAAATCCATTACATTCACTTACATACTAATACACTTGGGAAAGGTATTAATCCTCTTCTTCTTCCCCCCAGCTATGGGTAAATAGCAGGACAGACCGGGTTCTTTAGTCTTGGATGGCAACTGGTCTACCACAGAAAGAAATGGCAACCTACTGTGGGGAAAAAATCTGCCTCATCAGTCATGTATCGAAAAATACATGATCGCCTACGTGTGTATCACACATGGCACATAACTGACTGACTAGATTGGAGGCAATGCCTCATTATTTTGCAGTTGAAATGGCTAGAGGTAACCATAAGTTCTATTCCAGCAATTTCTTATATCACACTTCTCGCTTGTAGAACCTTCTTCCAGCTTCTTGTTGCCTTGTCAACTTTGATCTTCAAAAATTTAAATGTAATGTCAATCATCTTCTTCTGCCTTCTTTATTCTTGTTCTTTTATTGTTCTCTCTCCTCAGTAGTATTTTTCTGATATTCTCTAACACTGAGTAACCCGTTGCATCTTAGTGGCTTTATTGCCTTGCTAGGAGTAAAAAGATTAAAAAAGTTGAAAATTGTGAATTTCTATATTTTAAATGGACAAGTCATATCTGATAATGCATAAGAGAAGGAATATTTGGCAAATCAATAAGTAAAAACAAATTCAAAGTTACAATAAATATAAGCTTATTTTGTGTCCTATAAAATATTATTTAATTGGCTAGTGATCATCCAACTGCTAGATGAATTGGTATAGAATGATACAAAGTTCAAGTTTTAAAATAAGACAGTATAACCTTTAGAAATGTTTTATTCAATGACAATGAAAAGTCAACAAAGTCATATGTACTTATGTTGTAAGCAGGTGGGAACAAGAACAAAAGATTTATGGACTATTCAATTGTATTCTCCACTTTGCAAAACAAAATAAAATACAGCATAAAGAAAACATAGTAATTAGTTATCAACAGAAATAAATAGTTTGCATTATTTACATTGTTCAGACTGTTGTTCTTATCTTTATTGCCATATTCACGATGTTTTGACTATTGTACACTCCAGTCATCTTCAGCTGATTGGAATTTCAAACTGATCCCTTAATTTCGTCCACCAGGGTAGATTGTTCTAGAGTTGTGAGTTCAACACCTGGCTACTGCAGTGGTGAACAAAAAAACTTGGACATTTGAGTTAAAGGGAGATAACTGGAAGAGGCATGGCATGTGAAACTGAAACAATCTATCCTGGTGGACAAAATAAAGGGTTTAGTTCGTAATTCCAATCACCTGAAGAAGGCCAGAGTGTACAATGGCCAAAACGTTGTGAATATGGCAATAAAGATGAGAACAACAGTCTGAACAATGTAAATAATTAAAATACCTCATCTCAGAAATATAGATAGAAATAAATAGGTTTGCTTATCATCTGGTTCACACTCCTTTCCAGTCTTTTGAACAGGAGTAGAGGTTTATCCCTTGTTTCCTTTTTAGGATTGGGTTTCTGGTTCCTTCGAAAGTCTACTTCAACTCTATACTTCTAACTGCTCCATCTAAGCTCTGAAATTTTATTTGTTATTTACTTTTTTCCCCCCTCAATAGGCTAAATATGTTCACCTATCAACTGGTTCACCTTCCACCCTAGTCTTTTGAACAGGGGTAGATATTTATTTATTGCTACTTGTTCAGGATTGGATTTCTGGTTTCTTTTTAAAAACCTTCTCATTCTCTTCCACTCCCAGTAGCCCCTTGCATCTTAGTGGCATTATTGCCTTGTTTAGGTTGAATTGATTAAAAAAAATAAACACAACTTGTCTTGTTCAGTTTATTTACTTTTTTCTTTTAGCATTCAGCGAACAAAGTCCTTTGAGAAAGTGTCTTGCAAATCCTCTCAGAGTGCCGAGGTAACACTGGATCTGGTGGCAAACAATTGTGGTGGCAAAGTGCACTTTCAGATGTAGGTGATTATGATTGACAGATTCATTCATTTTCTATGGTTTATCAACCCTTTGCCGGTTATTTAAAGACAGAAAATATTTTTAGATTGTAAGGATTTTTTTCTTTTGGAGATAATAATTTCTTTACTGATACAAGTCTTACTAACTGACCCCTACCTGGTGTGGGGAGAAGAGGTGGGGTCATACATCTCCCAAAGCTACTTGTGTATAAGTGAATATAATGAACCTAACAGGAATTGGAACTCAGCTCTCCAATTAACAATTCCAAGCCATCATCCATTACACTACCTGAACATCCAAACATACAGCACTTGGTATTCCCAAGAGGTTACCCATCTAGGTACTGACCAGGCTTGACATTGCTTAACTACAGTGATCATACAGGAACTAGTATTTCAACAGCCTGTGGTCATAAGCCTAGGAGATTTTGAATTAAAAGGATGAGGCACAATGTCTACAGAGCATCCTTGGGTAGTCACAGGATTGGGGGACATTAGTTTCCCTTAGGTATAAAAGTACATTAATGCAGGTCCTCAGCAGTGGCCAAATTCCCGAGAGAGTAGTACATTGTGTATGCTGAGGATTTGCCTTGATGAGCTCCATCATGAATTGACCAGTTTTTATCCAGGCCAAACTATTAGATGAAATGGATACATTATGCAAATTCTGGCTATTCTGTGTAAATTATTAAAGTGAGAAATTATCACTGAACATTGATTCATTTCAGTTATCATCATCAAAACATTTTGACCGCTGTACGAGGATTGGCTGAAAAGTTCATAGGCTGACCAAGATACTCTCATGGAATATGACCCCTGAGATTTATTTTACGACATAGACCCCTTGCAGTCCACACACTTCTTCCATTGGTATGACACTGCTTGGATTTTTTTGGTGAAGAAACTTTCATCCTGTTGATCAAAAAAATCATCAACAGAGCAGATATGACATAATCACAATACTGGTTACTAGTCAATTATTTATTTATGTTGGTGAACAGATGGTAGTCAGATGGTGCCGAATAGGGAGAATGATCAACCAGTTCAAAGCCATAGTCACCATTGTCCTGATGAAATAAGACCACTTTCATCAGTTTTCCTGGTTGTTTGGTTTTAATCAACTTTTGTAACTGCCTCAGCAAATTTGCATAGTACTCTCCATTGATGGTGTAACCCTTTTGAAGATAATGAACAAATACAATGCCTTTTGCATCTCAAAAAATAGTTCAACACCTTCCCAGCATAACTTTTCAGTCCAAACTAATATCAATAAGAAAAGTTGAAATTAATGCAGGCAAGATTTCACAGTTCGAGCATCACTCCTTCATAGTCAGACTGTGAACTTTTTAGTCCACTCTTATAATCTCTCACATTCTTCAGGTGTTTATTATATTTGGTAACCTCCTGAAGATTTTGCACTGAACTTTTATTCAATCTAAAGTGCTAGATTGTTTTCTTTATGATGCTCATGCTAGAGAGAAATTCTGCCGACACTATGTTCATGATGATTTTTCTGAAGGTGTTTGTGTACTTTTAAATGAGGATTCTGTGAAAATGCTGAGCCACACACATCACAAGACTATGGTTTTTCTACAGTATGTACTATGATTTTTTCTACAGTGAAAATGTATCACACATGTCACAAGAATATGGTTTTTCTACAGTATGTATCCGCATATGATTTTTTAAATGTGAATTTCGTGAAAATGCTGAGTCACACATGTCACAAGAATATGGTTTCTCTTCTGTATGTATCCGCATGTGCTTTTTCAATATGGAACTATCAGAAAAAGTTGACCCACACACAGTACATGAATAAGGTCTCTCTCCAGTGTGTGTTCTCATGTGTACTTTTAAATGTGAATTCTGTGAAAATACTGACCCACACACATCACAAGAATACGGTTTTTCTCCAGTATGTATCCGCATATGATTTCTTAAATGTGAATTCCGTGAAAATGATGACCCACACACATCACAAGAGTATGGTCTTTCGCCTGTGTGTATCCGCATGTGCTCTTTTAAATGACAAATCTGTAAAAATCCTGATCCACACACTTGGCAAGAAAATGGTTTCTCTCCTCTGTGTGTTTGCCTGTGTACTTGTAAATGTGAATTCTGTGAAAATGCTGATCCACACACATTGCAAGTATATTGTTTTTCTCCAGTATGTATTTGCATGTGGCATTTTAGATCAAAACTGTCTGAAAATGCTGATCCACATTCTTGACAAGAAAATGGTTTATGTCCTGGGTGCATTCGCATGTGCTTTTTCAATATGGAACTATCTGAAAATGCTGAATCACACACTGTACATGAATAGGGTTTCTCACCAGTGTGTATTCTCATGTGCTTTTTTAAATTTGAAGTCTGTGAAAATGCTGATCCACAAACTTTACAAGTAAATGGTTTCTCCCCGGTATGTATCCGCATGTGTTTTCTTAAACTTGAACACTCTGAAAATGCTGATCCACATTCTTGACAAGAATATGGTTTCTCTCCAGTGTGTATTCGCATATGCTTTTTTAAATGTGAATTCTGTGTAAATGCAGATCCACACATTTCACAAGAAAATGGTCTTTCCCCTGTATGTATTTTCATGTGGTTTTTTAAGTTGGAACTCCTTGAAAATACTGCAGGACAAACAGTACAAGAATACGGCTTCTCTCCTGTGTGTGTTTGCATATGTACTTTTAAATGTGAAGTCTGTGAAAAGGCTGACCCACACACTTCACATGAATATGGTCTCTCTCCAGTGTGTATCCGCATGTGACCTCTTAAACGAGAATTTAGTGAAAATGCTGATCCACACACTTGGCAAGAAAATGGTTTCTCACCTGTATGTATTTTCATGTGTTTTTTTAATCTTGAATTCTCTGAAAATGATGAGGCACAAACAGTGCAAGAATAAGGCTTTTCTCCTGTGTGTGTTCGCATGTGTACTTTTAAATATGAATTCTGTGAAAATGCTGATCCACAGATATCACAAGAATATGGTTTCTCCCCTGTATGTATCCGCATGTGATTTTTTAAATGAGAAGTTTGTGAAAATGCTGACCCACACACTTGACAAGAAAATGGTTTCTCTCCTGTATGAATTCTCATGTGCTTTTTCAAAATTGAATCTTCTGAAAATGTTGACTCACACACAGTACATGAGTAAGGTTTCTCACCTGTGTGTGTTCGCATGTGTACTTTTAAATGCGAATTCTGTGAAAATGCTAATCCACAGACATCACAAGAATATGTTTTTTCTCCAGTGTGTGTTCGAATATGTTTTTGCAAATGAGAAGACTGTGAAAATGCTGACCCACACACGTCACAAGAATATGGTTTCTCTCCAGTGTGTATTCGCACATGATTTTTTAAAGTGGAACTAGCTGCAAATGCTGATCCACACACTTGACAAGAAAATGGTTTCTCTGCAGTGTGTGCTTCCATGTCTTTAAGGTTTTTCTGCAGTGTTTTCTTAAATAAGTATTTGGAAGTGGAAATGTAGTAAAAATGTGTATGTACAGCATTTGCGAGAAATAGACTTGTTTCCTTTCTGTTACTAAGCAAAAATGATTTAAAAATACACATCCACATATAAGATGATGTTTTCTCTTCTTTGGTATGTGTCTACAAGTTTGACAGTTGACATTTTTCAATTGTATCTGTGAAGAGAGAAAAGATTCTATTAAAGAAAACAATAAACTCATGAATTATTTACAAAATACAATTGTGATAATTAATTTGTGTTTCAATGAAGGACAACATGCCACAATTCATCTTCATGTTATAAATAAAAAGCAACAAAAATAAATACAAGGGTAAGTCAAAAATTTATATTTCCCGGAAAGGGATATATTTGTTCGAAGTAGCAAAGTGGTTGTTGACTACTGTAACCGGGTAGAACAACCTAGCAGGTAACCATAATGGACTGGTCCTCGTCATAGTGGTAGGCAATAGGTGAAGACTATAGGCGTAGCCAATAGGCATCGCCCTGTACCTCCACATCAGTCTGTATTTATGGCTGACACCAGCCAATCATATTACTGTGAGGGGGAATGCAGGTGTATGCATATTCATTACATCACCTCCCGCTGAGCTAAATTTTCCTGCGAAATTTAGCTTCAGTATTTTCTCTTTTTAGGGTCTGGACTTAATCAATTGATTTTTTTTCCTAAGTCTTTTTTGCGTCAATCCTCCTTGCAGTGGTGGCGTTTGATACACTGGTACCTCTAGCCTTGAGGTTGGGGATACCTCCATTGGGGAATGTTGACTTACTGGAATGGGAATTTCTAATGCGTCATACAGGAATTCCATTGGAATATCTTCGGTATTTTCCATGATCTCTGTGGTGTGTCTGGGTCTCAATTGATTCCAATATACGCTTTAATGTGTGTTTTGTGTTGGGCCTTGTTTTCACTTTTAATGAAAATATCATCTAAATATGTGATTGCATACTCCATACCAGCCAACATTGTGTCCATTGTTTGCTGGAATAGGCTTGGAGCTATCTTCAATCCAAAAGGAAGATGATTTAGTTTAAAAATCCCTTTATGTGTATTTATTGTCAGGTACTTTGAATATTCTTCACTGACTTTAACCTGAAGGTAAGCCTCCAACAAGTCCAACTTTGAAAACACTCTACCTTCATTTAATTTAGCAAATATATCCTCCGGAGATGGTAGAGGGTAGGCATGGTCATTTACACAATCATTTAAACCTGTCAAAAAGTCAACACATACACTGATTTTTCGGTTTTTCTTTTTTATATATACGGTTGGAGACGCCCAATCCGAGTAATCGACTTTTGAAATTACGCCAATCTTCTCCAACCTTTCTGATTCCTCATTTATTGTGTCTAGTACCGAAAATGGTACTTTTCTCTTTGGTTTAAAGATTGGTTTAACATTTTCTTTCAATTCAAAATTGACTTCTGTTTTTGTGCACAGACTTAGTCCTTCTGAAAATACGCGAGGGAATTCGCCTTTCAAATCCGTAATAAATCTTTCTGTTTGCTTCGTCTTATAGTTCTCTATGACGTTAATTTTGTTACAGAAAGAATTCACCGGCAACTCCCATGAATTAAACAATACAATCCAGTTTAAACCAAAGAGGTTTACTAAACCAGGGAGCACATACACTTTCGATTTGTGAATTTTTCCCATGAACGCAATGTTACATTTTAATTTACCTCTAAACTTAAGTCATTTTCCTGATACTACCCCTAGCAATTTTGTCAGTCTTAGTCAATGGCGGGTAACCGATTTCTTACCGTCTGTAAGCGTTGCACAAGTTTTTCCTTTTCTAACGTTCCTCATCAATAAGTGTTAAAACAAAATGAGGGAAAAATTACTTACTTTCTGTAAGCGTCGAAAAAGTCTTTCTAACATTCTTCGTTAATAAGTGTTGTGTGTGTGTGTG